CCACCAAGAATGAATGAATGGATGAATCTTTATTTCAGTCAAGCCATCGGCCATAGCAATAAAACAACAATACTGATATACAAAGAATAGAAATAAAAAGTCAATTATATTAAAATGCCATTTTAGGGATGTGAATCAATAGTCATATAGTGGATCAATAATCTCAATACTTAAAACTTGGCAGAGTGTGATAAAATAATAGTAGTACCCACAAGAGAATATTGGACAGTTTCTCAAGGGACCTTTGAAAGGATGCATAAAAGTCAAAATCAGCAGAAGTACAGTGGTACCCTCGCAAGACGAACGCCTCGCAAGACGGAAAACCCGCTAGACGAAAGGGTTTTCCGTTTTGGAGGCGCTTCGCATAACGAATTTCCTATGGGCGTGCTTCGCAAGACGACAGCCCATAGGGAAATCTCAGGGACAGCGGGGAAGCGCAGCGCGTCTTCCCCACTGTCCTCGGACCTCCTCCGAAGCCTGGCGGCGGGGCGGGGACACCTCCTCCCGCCGCCGCCGGGCTTCGGAAGGCTCCTCCCGAAGCCGGGCGGGGGGGAGGGAACACCTGCCGCCGCCGCCCGGCTTCGGAACGGTGCCCGAGCCGGGCGGGGAGGGAACACCTGCTGCCGCCGCCCGGCTTCGGAACGGTGCCCGGCCGGGCGGGGGAGGGAAGACCTTCTGAAGGCGGGCGGGGGGCGAAAGTCTTGCTCCCCCTGCCTGCCTGTCCCGGAGGGCTTTGAAGGCGGGGAGCAAAGACTTTCGCCCCGCCCGCCTTCAGAAGAGGTCCAGGACCTCTTCTGAAGGCTGGCGGGGGCAAAAGTCTTTGTCCCCCTGCCTGCCTTCCCAGGGGCTTTAAATTGCCCCGGACAGCGGAGAAGTCCTCCGCTGTCCCGGGGTGATTTTAAATGCCGCCCGCCAGCATTTTAAGATCGCCCGGACAGCGGAGAAGTCCTCCGCTGTCCCGGGTTTTTAAAATGCTGGGGGTGGGAAGAAAGCCCTTGCCCCCAGCCTTCAGAAGAGGTCCGGGGACAGACTGTCCCCGGACCTGGTCTGAAGGCGGTTTCCCTAGGAACGCATTAAATGATATTCAATGCATAACTATGGGAAACCGAGCATCGCAAGACGAAAAACACGCACGACGAAGAGACTATCGGAACGAATAAATTTCGTCTTCCGAGTCACCACTGTA